ATTGCTGATGTCTGATGGATCTTGGCTGAAAGCAAAGAATACCAGAAAGATGTTTACTTGTGCTTTATTGACTACGCAAAAGCTTTCAGTTGTGTGGATCATGACAAGTTATGGACAGCATTGCGTAGCATAAGTATTCTGGAACACTTAATTGTGCTCATAAGGAATCTGTACCTGGACCAAGATGCAGTTGTTTGAACAGAACATGGGAACACTGAATGTTTTAACATTAAGAAAGGTGTGCGACAAGGTTGTATTCTTTCATCATACTTATTCAACATGTATGCTGAGCAAATATTCTGAGAAGTTGGGTTCTATGAAGAAAAACGTGGCATCAGGATTGGAAGAAGACTCATTAACAACCTGCAATATGCAGAAGATACAACCTTGCTTGCTGAAAGTGAAGAGGACTTAAAACATTTACTGATGAAGATCAAAAGCACAGTCTTTGGTATGGATTACATTTCAACGTAAAGAAAACAAAATCCTCACCACTGGACCAATAAACAACATTCTTATCAATGGAGAAAAGATTGAAGTTGTCAAAAAGTGTTGAAAAGCAGAAATGTCAGCTGAGGACTAAGGTACGCCTGCCCCAAGCCATGGTATTTTCAGTAACCTCATTTGTATGTGAAACCTGGACAATGAATAAGGAAGACCATAGAAGAATTGATGCTTTTGAATTATGGTGTTAGAGGAGAATATTGAAAGTGCCATGGGCTGCCAAAAGAACAAACAGATCTGTGTTGGAAGAAGTGTAGCCAGAGTGCTCCTTGGAGGTCAGGATTGCCAAATTTCATCTCTCATAGTTTGGACATATAATCAGGAGGGACCAGTCACTGCAGAAGGATATCTATCATGTTTGGAAAAGTGGAGGGTCAGAGAAAAAGAGGAAGACCTCCATCGAGATGGACTGGCAAAGTGGCAGCATCAATGGGCTCAAGCATGGCAACAATTGTGAGGTTGGCCTAAGACCGGGCAGTGTTCTGTTCTGTTGTGCATAGGGTCACTATGAGTCAGTGCCAACTTGATGGCACCTAACAACAACAACAGAGAAGTTAGCTTTGTTGTTAAATGGAGAATTTAACAACAGTTTAACTGTTCTAGAGAACCTAGCTTAAGAACAATGAAAAGTCAGTAACCTCTCCAGGGCTCTGCTACAAGTGCACTGAGAGGGGCTAGAAGACAGGCCCTGGGAGACTTGGTGGCAGGCAGATGTTCCCATGTTGTGAGGGCACCTTCTGAAAAGCGCTGCTGCTCTAAGATGGGCTCCTAACCCGGGCATGCCCACCTTTCTTTCTCATGACTTCTCTACCTGCTCACACTCTTGGACCTCCTCTGAATTTGCCTGCATCATGGCTTCTATCTGGGTTCAAAATTTGAAAATCTCCCACCCATGAGCCCTCTTATGCTCTTCTAGGATGCCTGTGAGGGTTTCTCCAACCCCTATTATGGCTGGGCCATAGGCAGGGCATAGATTTACCTGATACATGCTTGGGCTGACACAGACCCATGCTCTCTTCCCTTTCATATGAGTGATAATTTGTAAACTTCTGTGGGCTCACAGGAATTTCTGGGCAATAGAACTGTCATCTCATCTGAAATAGAATCTAGCTTTCCTCTGGTCTGAAATGTTCCCTGTGTTTTGTTATTGGTATTGCTGCTAACTGGACTTACAGGGAGCAGTCTTGAGATTGCTGCTGCATGGGAAAGTGGATCAGGACCAGGGAAAACATCCCATGGCTTTTTTTTTTTAACCACAGGGAAAAACTAAAGGTTTTTAGAAAGTTAAAAACCTGTATTCTCCAAATACCACCAGAGGGTAGCTAGAATTTCTGTGACTGTCCTGAGAAACAAACACATTTTTGTGCCAGTGGATGAATATTCTGCAGGGGAACCAACTGTTTTCAGGTCTAGGTTCTTTTGTTCATATTTCTTCTTCTGTCACCTTCTTCAGTACTTGTCCCAACACTTACAGGACACCTATAAAAGGCCAGAGGTTTCATGTTTTGTCTCCATAATCACCATGGTTGGTGGATCCCATGGTGAGGAGATAACCAAGGTCCCAGTGGAGAGCATGGAATTGAATGGGAACCATCTCTTCAGTTAGGTATTTGATTAACCTTTAGGAAGAATTCTCCTGAGTGACTGATTCACAGAGTTGAGCACTTCCTACAAAGTATATAGCAAGACTTCAAGGAAAACACATTTACTTTCCATACAAATTTAGAAAATAATCTAAGAAGCTGAATTATATGAAAAGAACATTGCATCAGGATTGACGGAAGCCTCATTAACAACTTGTGAAATGTAGATGATGCAACCTAACTTGCTGAAAGCAAATAGGACTTAAAATACTTAGAGATAAAGACGACTACATCCTTCAGTACAGATTGCACCCCAATGTAAAGGAAAAAATGCCCTCTACTGGACTAATAAATACATCATGATAAATGAAGAAAAGATTGAAGTTGTCAAAGACTTCATTTTGTTTGGATCCACAGTCAATACTCATGGAAGCAGTAGTCAAGAAATCAAATGACACATTGCAGTAGGCAAATCTGTTGCCAAAGACTTCTTTAACATGCAAAAAAGCAAAGAGATCAGTTTGAGGACTAAAGTGTACCTGTTCCATGTCATGGTGCTTTTTTTAATCCCCTCAAATGTATGTGAAAGTCAGACAATGAATAAGGAAGTCCATAGAAGAATGGATACATTTGAATTATGGTATTGTAGAAGAACATTAAATGTACTATGGATGGCCAGAAGAATAAACAAATTTGTCTTGGGAGAATTACAGCCAGAATGCTCCTTAGAAGCAAGAATGACAAGACTTTGTCTCTCATATTTCAGATATGTTATCAGATGGGACCAGTCTCTGGAAGAGGACATCATGCTTGGAAAAGTGGAGGGTTATTGAAAAAGAGGAAGACCCAAATGAAATGGGTTGATGTAGTGGCAGCAGCAATGGGCTTAAACGTAGCAGCAATTGTGTAGCTAGTGTAGGACCAGGCAGTGTTTCGTTCTATTGTGCATAGGGTCCCTGTGAGTCAGAGTCGACTCAGAAACAACCACAGAAATACTTTGGGAAACAAAGACCCAACTGAGGTCTCTGCCTGCAAATGGATGTTGATTTTAATCCCTCTATGGTTTTCTGGCTGCATCTTGTTAAGCTTCATCTTTCTTTAATGCCCTTTCCTTGGTGAATCTTTTGAACAGAGGGAGCTATGCAAACACAAATATGAGGAGCAAGGGACACTTAAATGAGGATCAGTCATGAGGAGTGCAGTGGTTGGTGCTGCCCACCCACCGCAACTCAGTGAGAAGGCATCTTGTTTTCTACACCTCTCATCTGTTCTTCTGTGTTAGCTCTTCTTTTTATTAAAGAACTATAAATTCAAACAAAACTATGAGGGCAAATAAGGGAAAGTGGTTGGATACCACAATTAAAAAGTCCAGGGTGATGTGGGTATCAAGAGCAAGTGCTGGAACAAGTTTCACAGGATCAGTCCTGATCACTTCAGCACCATCATTATTTTTCTCCATTTTGTTGGTTTTTCTTCCTTTTTTCCATGAAGTTGTTTCATTGACTATGATTGGGCTACTGTGCTAGTTAAGGTTTTGTGTCAACTTGACTGGGCCAGGATTCTCAGTGGTTTGGCAGTTTAGACGTAGTAATACTCCATGGTGAGATCTAACACAATATAATCCACTCCATGATGGGATCTGCTATGAGCAGTCAATCAACTGAAGGGAAATTTCCCTGAAGAAGTGGCCAGCTTCCAATATATTGGGCTCTTGGGCAAAGCTTGCTTGATTTTTGCTGAATCTGGATCCTACATCTGGCTCATCATCCAACCTCCAGTTCTTTGGACTTGAGCCAGTGACTTGCTCTATTGCCTGCCAATCCTAGAAGTTATCATCAACCTGTCATCTTACCTGATGGACCTGCCTGTCTGCCTGCCATATGATCTGCTCATCTTGAGTTCATCAGCCTGCAGCTACATTAATCAGAAGCCTTCAGCCTCACATCTGGCCCATGGACTTGAGACTTGCCCACCTCTACAACTATGTGCACCATTTCCTTGATATAAACTTCTCTTTATATATACACATATAAGCCTCACTGGTTTTGCTTCTCTAGGGAAGCCATCCTTAGGCAGCTGGTTTCTCTGCTTGGACCAGGTTTGGTCATATGCTAATCTCTGAGTCAATAACTTTGAAAAGGGAGATGCAGTACTCTGGAAGGCCCAATTCTGCTGTTATCCCAGTAGAGGGAAAGATCAGCCGGCTCATACCATGTGGAACAAGGATTCCAGTGGGTGTTGGAGCATCCTTGGAGAACATGGAGCATCCCACCCAGAGCAGCATATGCCCACCACATGTCTAGTCCTATAGTGAGTGGGAAATCATGGGGATTATTTGATGTGAAACAGTGTACTTTCACTACGTCCATCCAGTCTCTGGGCTGCAGTCCCTTCCTTTACAAGGATGGGAGTTGATGTCCTATATGAAAATCACTGCCTGGCAAGAGCTTTTCTTGGTTCTATGAGGCCTGTGCTGAGTCAGAAAATTCATGTTTTCCTATTTCCAACTAACTGTCCTATAAAATGTTCCCTTTGGGAGGTGAATGTTTTCAGAAGTCTTGGTGATATGATCGTTTTCTTTTGGATACTTATGGATGCTGATAAGGAGAAATCCTGCTCTAGACCTCAACAAAGAGGCAGTAAATCTCTGTCATTACCAGTATGCAGTATTAAAAACATTTCTTTCTGATGAATAACTTCCTATACAATAAGCATTTGAGGGCCTGCTGTGCCCCAGATATTGGACTGGGAATATGGTATATACAATTTGCAGAATCATTCCATTCTAAATTCTGTAACTTGTCCATCCCTCATTTCTTATGACCATTTCTTCTCTGTGTCACACACAGGGAGCTTCTGGAGACCACGTGCCGCCTGGCCAACACACTGAAGAGACATGAAGTTTATCGAGGGGACCGTGTGGCCATCTACATGCCTGTATCTCCTCTGGCTGTGGCAGCGATGCTGGCCTGTGCCAGAATTGGTGCTGTCCACACTGTTGTCTTTGCTGGCTTCGGTGCAGAGTCCTTGGCTGGGAGGATCAATGATGGTGAGCCCATGGGTTGGGAGGGATGAGGCCTAGAGTCCCCTAGCATTTCTTCCTAGGGCTTGGTCATTGGGACTTTAGAGTAGTGATAGACATTAATAAATTCATACAGACAAATGACAGATACTACCAGGGTTACGTAGCTGGATGAGCACATGTTCTCTGAATGTAATGGGTTTAAATGGTAAATAAGGGAGGGAAGAGTGCCAGATTCAGGACCACTGGAAGAGCAGTGTGAAGAGCATCAGACATGTGAAGGACTTGAGAAAGTCAGGCAAAGCTAAATTATAGGATGCAAAAAACGTGAAGAGTAAGATGAGGCTAGAGATGCACAAGAATGAAGCCACACAGAAAATAGCTGGAAGCCATCACTGAGAGTACTGATGGAGTAGCCTACCTGAGAGGCCTGGGGATGTGCTTCCTGGTCATGGGTAGATCCTAGTGTCTTGGACAGTGTGGAGAACAATAGCATTTCTCATGCTTTTTCTGGTCGGGGAGAGTTGAGTAGAGTGTCTGACTGGTGACCTATATCCATTGCAGTGCCAATCCCTGCTCTAGAGAATTGACTAAGTTGGCTCCTCAAGTTAGGTACCATGTCCTGTGGACAATTGGGAGTTCTTTGCATCTTACAGAAGACTTGCCTCAGGGTGGTGAACACAGCTCATCAGATTCCTGCTGATAACCTCTTTAGAAAAGGTGGATGCTTTCTCTTTGTGGTCTGGTGTCTTCCTCTCTCCCTTCACCCCTGCAAGCTTTTATGCTGCCATCCCTTTTCCTCCCCAACATTTCTATAGCATCTACTGTGTAGCCAGGACCTGGTCTAAGTATTCTGCAAAGTATTTCTTTAATTTAACTAGTCTTCATAAAAAGTATTTGATAGTGCTCTACCCTTCCATTCCTTTTACTATTGTATCCATTTTAATGTATTCTGATCAGTACCTGAGGAAAGGAGCACTCAGAGGATGAAAAAGGAGGGACAGGATCCATCAGGCTTCCCTGAGTTGATGACGTAGGCAGGGAGGAGATGACCCATCTCAGAGGAGGGAGGCACAGCTACAAGGCAAGAGAAGGTACAGATCATAACCTCTCACAAGGGAAGGGATGCACTTTTAGTTTGATATGAAAAAGGAGTTTGGCATTTAGGAAGACTTCTGGATATTTATGAAGTCCTGGTGTGGCGCTGTGGGTTAATGCGCCAGACTGCAAAGCTGTTTGAACTGTAAGGTTGGCAGTTCAAGCTCACCAACTACTCCTCAGAAACTCTATACAGGGTCACTGTGAGCCAAAAGAACCAATAGATCTGTGTTGGAAGAAGTGCAGTCAGAGTGCTCCTTGGAGGCCAAGATGGCCAAACTTAGTCTCTCATACTTCGGACATATTGTCAGGAGGGACCAGTCACTTGAGTAGGATATCATGTTTGGTAGGGTGGAGAGTCAGAGAAAAAGAGGAAACCCCCAATGAGATGGATTGGCACAGTAGTAGCATCAGTGGGCTCAAGCGTAGCAATGATAGTGAGGTTGACCCAGGATCGGCCAGTGTTTCTTTCTGTTGTGCATAGGGTCTCTATAAGTCGGTACTGACTTGATGGCACCTAACAACAACAACAAGCTGGATATTTAAATTTGTTTATTATGGGACAGTATGATGAGTGCCAGGTGCCTGTTTCAATAATGATTTACTCATGGCTGAACTTTACTCTGAGGTGAATCCCCAATCACTTTGTTTGTGAAGACTTAATTGCACATCTCTTATAAGGACTCTTTTTTTATATACTAAAATATCATTATCATAACAATAACACAAGAAAAAAGTCATCTTTTTTTCCATATTAAACTCAATTTGCTTGGTTATGTTTAGCCTGTTGTAACCAATATGTTCTCCCTTCATTTGGTCCCTTTTGCAATGTTTTTGTGGAAGAGACAGGATTGTTGGTCCTTCCTCTTCTTGCTCTCATCTCAAGTGTGCCAGTGGAACATATTCAAACTCTTGCTGCGTTTTCCACATTTCCACTCACAAGTAGACCCAGGTGGTCACCAGAAAGTATACTCACTGCTTGTGGGTTTTACTGAGTTTCAGTCCTGGAAGGGGGTTTTCCCTAATGGGCTGACTTTTCTTGACTTGATGCCTTCAAAGTAAACAGCTTGCTTGAAGTTCAAACAGTATGCTTTTTTTTACTACAGGTCTTCCTTTTAATAAGAATCTTCTGCTGTCCCAGCATTTCTAGGTTGGCTTGCATGTCTTTTGGTGGGGCTCAGGAATCCCCATATTCTACAAAGACTTAACAAGAAGCCTATTTCCATGGGAAAATTCTAACTCCTCCTCCCCCCTTTTTCTTTTGGAGGCTGGAAAGGCGAGCACAGCGGACCTGTCCCCTCCCATCACTTGTTTATTGATAATCACGATGTGCAAGGTGAGGGCTCCCCACAGAAGCCTGACACGCACGTCCAGCCCAGACAGCAATGTGCAAACGGCTGTACAAGAATCTGCTGGCCACACCACAGGCAGCCCTTCCTCTGGCTGAGACTCCTCGCCCAGCAGCATGCATCTCTGCAGTGGCTTCTTGCACAGTTTTGTTCACTTGGTTACTCAAGGTCCCTTGAGGGTTTTGCATCAACCCTTCCATCACAATACTGAATAGGAGTGGTGATAAAAGGCATCCTTGTTTGGTTTTTGTTCACAAAAGGAATGCTTTCAGTTTCTCTCTGTTGAAAGTGATGCTGGCTGTTGGTTTTGCATGGTGGTGGTAGTGGCTGTGTGCCCTGGAGTCAGTTCCAACTCATAGCGACCCTGTATAGGGTTTCTGAGGCTATAAATCTTTTACAGGAGCAGAGAGCCTTATCTTTCTTCTGTGTAACAGTTGGTAGCTTCCAACTGCTGACTTTGAGGTTAGCAGCCTGACTCGTAGCCTCTACACGATATGCTCTTAATTATGTTGAGTAATTTCCCTTCAAATCTTACTTTATTGAGTTTTTTAAAAAAATTTTAATCAAGAATGGTGTTGGATTTTGTCAGATGCCTTTTCTGCATCCATCTATATGATCATATGTGTGTGTGTGTGTTTCCTTTGAAAATTTTATATGGTGGATTACTTTGATTGTTTTTGTAATATTGATCTATCCTGGAATCCCTGGTACAAATCCCACTTGGTCATGATGTATATTATTTGTTTTGATATGTTGTTGAATTCTATTAACTAGGATTTTCCTGAGAATTTTTGCATCTATGTTCATGAGGGGTATTGGTTTATAATTTTCTTTTGTAGTTATGTCCTGGCCCTTTTTTTTTTTTTTTTGGTATGAGGGTTTTGCTTGCTTCATAAAATGTATTGGGGATTTTTCTATTCTTTTCTATGTTTTGGAATGATTTAGTAAAGTTGGTGTCAGCTCCTCTGTGAATATTTGGTAGAATTCACCAGTAAAGTCATCTGGACCTGGACTTTTTTTTGTTGGGAGTTTTTAAATGACCTGATCAATATCTTCTTTGTTATAGATTTGTTCAAGTTTTCTACTTCACTCTGTGTAAGTTAGGTAGGTTGTGAAATTAAAAAAATATATCCATTTTTTTCCAAACTTTCAAATTTATTAGAGTACATGTCTTCATAGTATTTATTCTGTTATCCTTTTTAACTCTGGTGGTTCTGTTGTAATGTTATTCATATCATTTCTTATGCATGTTATTTGTATTTTATCCCTCTTTTCTTCTGTTAGATTTGCCAATGGTTTGTCACTTTTATTAATAACTTCAAAGAACTATCTTCTTGATTCTTCCTATTGTTTTTATATTTATATTTCATTTATGTCTGCACTAATTTTTATTATTTAAGTTTTCTTCTGGTGATTCTAGGCTTACTTTGCTGGTCTTTTTATAATTGTTGGAAGTGTTTTGTTAATGTGTTGACTTTGGTTAATTCTTCTTTTTGAATGTGTGCATTTATTGCTATAAATTGTCCTCTAAGCACTGCTTTTGCTGTGTCCCAAATGTTTTTTTCTTTTTTGTTTTCATATGCTTCAAGAAATTTTTTATTTCATGTTTTATTCGTTCTATTACCCAGTGGCTTCAATTAAGATTGGTGTTTAGTTTCTATGTGTTTGATTTTGTTTCCTTGATCTTCCTATTGAGGATTTCTAATTTTGTAACATTGTGGTTGGAGAAGACAGTTTGTAGTATTTTGATGTTTTAAAATTTATTGAGATCTGTTCTATTGCCTAACATATGGTCTGTTCTGGAGAATGTTCCATGTGCATTGCAAAAGGATTTGTATCATGCTGTTGTTGGGTTGAGTGTTCTGTATAAATCTAAGAGTTCAAGGTGATTGCTTGTTTCTTTTAGTTCCGCTGTGTCTTTGTTGAGTTTCTTTCTGGTTGTTCTGTCCTTTTATGATGGTGGTGTATTAAAAATCTCCTACTTTTATTGTAGAGTTATCTGTTTCTTCAATTTTATTAAAGTTTGATTTATCTATTTTGAGGCTCTTTCACTGGGAGTAAAGTTATTTATTATTTATTATGGTTATCCTCTTGTTCAACTGACCATTTAAATATGAGAAATTGTCCTTGCTTGTCTCTTATGGTGGGTTTTGCCTTAAAGTCTGTGCTATCAGAAATTAATATTGCGACTGCTGTTAATTTTAGTTTGCCATTATTGTTGTTGTTGTTGTTAGGTGCCATTGAGTGAACACCAACTCAGAGGGATCCTATGTGCAACAGAATGAAACTCTGCCTGGTCCTGTGCCTACTTCAAAATTGCTGCTATGTCTGAGCTCATTGCTGCTACCCCTGTGCCAATCCATCTTGCTGGGGGTCTTCCTCTTTTACTTTACCAAACATGGCATTCTTCTCCACTGACTGGTCCTTCCTGACAATATGTCCAAAGTATGAGAGACGAAGTCTGACCATCCTGACTTCCAAGGAGCACTCTGGCTGTACTTCTTCCAACAGAGATCTTTTTGTTCTTTTGGCAGTCCATGGTACTTTCAATATTCTCCTCCAACACCATAACTCAAATGA